CCAGGGATGTAGCTCAGTGGTTCCGCTGTCTGCCTCGCAAGTGCAAGGTCCAAGTTTGGTCCCTGTACAAAAAAAAAAAAAAAAAAAAAGAGAGAGAAATATTTCACTACATTCATAATTTCACTAATAAAGCAAGACAAATAAACTCCATTAACTATGAGGAAACTAGGTTAATGCACCTCTACATCTTACACATAGGTTATAAGCCCCCACAGACATCTTTCTTTTTTTCTTTCCCTTATTCCCATTCCCCTACCCTTCTCACTGTCACTACACCTTTAGCCCTTTTCTTCCTATTTCACATTGCTAATTATCCAATTAGGATATTGAGTACTATTTTAGCTTTTCACACCAGAGAAACTATTTGGTATTTACACATGTGTGACTTATTTATTTCACTTAGGAGTATATCCTCAAAATGTATCCATTTACCTATGAATCAATCTACTTTCTCATTCTTTATGGCTAAGTAGTACTCCATTTTATAGAAAAACCACATCTTCTTTATCCAGTTTCCAACTGATGGGCAAATGGGCTGGCTGTTCCCTGCAGACATCTTAACAGCCCGGGAAGTTTAAATCCTTTGAGGTTGCTCCTTGCTCAAAGGCAGAGTGGAGGGGCAAAATACAAGGCACCGGTAATGTATGAGTTAAAACATCAAGCCACTCCCACGCTATGCTGGGCCTTCTACTGGACTGGACTATATATTCCGTTGTGTCATTGTTCCTGAAAGCTCCAGGTGCCTAGTGACAAGCTTTGAGGGTCTGACTTAAAACACAGTGTGTTTATTGCATTATTAAACCCAATAATGTAAGGTACTAGTTCTAGGGGTGTTTTTAGAGCTAAACTTCACACAACTGATCAACTTTTGAAATGGAACTAAATTTTGAACATACAATATTTAAAATGATTCAAGATTTAATGTGAGTGTTAGAGTAACTCATTCTGTTTCTTGAAATATTATATATCTCAACTATAGTGGAAAAAGTAGACAGGCTGTTTCTTTGCATCTACAAAAAAGCCCAAATCTCAATCTCCATGCCAGGCCAGGCCTGGTTTTGATTTGTTAACAGGTGCAAAGGGAAAGACAACACCTACCCTCAGCCAATGTTAGGGCTTCCATGACTTTAACTGGAAGAGATGATCCAAATGTTTTCACGTCATAATTCACAGATTCAGTTACGGAGTGGTGTGTTAACAGCCGCGTAGGTGTTCCTCTAAAGAACAGACATCATATCATTTCACTTGAAATTTAAAATTTTATACTATCTTTGCTTTTTATACATTTATTTATATAATAAAGAGATCTCTGATAAAATGAGGTGTAACAGTGGGGGAAAAAACACTAGCTCATGTATACTACATTTTAAAATGTATTTTTCACTTATAAGAAAAAGAGTGGCAGAATTTAGGGAAACATGGCTTCAGGCCCCATCTATGCTCACTCACTCCTCATCACTAAGCTCCTTACCTGTGAAATAAGAAGGCTGGACTAAAATCAGTGTGTTTCAAGCTGAGAACCATTTGGAGGGTCTCAATCAACATTTTTGAAAAGTAAAACATTAGCCTCTACCACGTTACTGTCACAGATGTTCCACAGACACTGAGTGGGGTGATGCTCAAGCTCTCACCCAGCTCTGATTTTTAAGACCTGTCAGATCTTTATTTATTAGGTAGGACCTGCCTTGTTCCCTGGCCCTGTCCTCAGTACTCTGAACAACAATGCAGGGTCAACAGCAAAAGCTCCTCTCCAGTGGCCACTGAATGAGGAGGTGCATACCAAACTGTCAAGAGATTTTTGTCTCCTGAGAGAGTACCCTCACAAAGGTGTTTCTTTAAATAATCAGCAGAAGGTAGGAAAAGATTTTAAAGAATAACACACACACATTATGCAAAGTGTGACTTTCATTCTGACTATTCTCAAAGGAAACAGAAAACACAGGATCAGCTTTTTGAAGGGCACTTTTCAAAGTGTAAAAGTCAAGAATACAGTGTATTCTCTAAAAATCATTTCTCCTTGAAAGTATTGCAAGGTTTTATAGATCAATTTTAATCATAAATTCAAGACTCAGAATTTGCTACTTTCTTGCCAGGAAAAATTCTCTTCTCAAAGATGAAGCCAGAAAAAAAAGTAGTCAGAAGCAGATGCTTCCTGCCTTTGAAATTTCATGGTCACCATGAACTCCAGGGACAGGAAGTATGACTTTGCTGGAATGTGGTTGATGCACACATCAATAGTTTTAGAAACATGCCGGGTGTGGTGGCACACCCCTGTAATCCCAGCACTCGGGAGGCTGAGGCAGGAGGATCGCTGTGAGTTTGAGACCAGCCTGGGCTACAGAGTGAGTTCCAGGTCAGTCTCAACTATACAGTGAGACCCTGTCTCAAAAAAGCAAACAAAAAAAACAAAGACAGAAACAAAACTACTACTCCTACCTCACTGTGAGAAGAGCCATTCACTACAACCTGGCTACAAAGTGAAATTCTGTAGCCAACACTTTAGTTACCATTTAGCAGGTATTAATGACAGTTGGTGTACTGGCATGAAGCAACAATTGTAACAGGATTGGATCCTGTGATTACTTTAGCTCGGCATTAGGGCACCTCCATGGATTTCTGGGCCATGTATCTCCTCCTGCCAGACCACAGTAAGAGGGAGGCAGTAAGAGGGAGGCAGGAGACCACTAATACAAAACCAGACTGTTCTTCACCCCTGGAAAAAAGTAATACCAGCTTCTGGAAATCACAGAGAGTGTGTGTTCTACCTTCTTTCTTTGTCTAATAACGCTGAAGTAGAGAAAACTGTTGGCTAGGTTAGTCCAGGGGATCTCGGGGCCAAGGCCACAACTTCACTAGTGGACAGAGGTCAGGCACTTTAAGAGCTATGGAAGCATTTGCCACCAAAATCTAAGACTCCTGTGTTAGGACAAGGTGGACATAGATAGGTGACAGTAGGTCACCTGCCAGCCTCAAGAACACATCCTTACGAAGAAGCACACAATGTATATTGGTATATGACAAGCTAAACATGGTGGTATAGGCCTATCACCCCAGCCCTGAAGAGACTAAGGCAGGAGATCATGAATTTGAGGTCAGCCTGGGCCATATCTCAAAAACAACAAAAAGCCAGGTGTGATGGCACATAGCTATAATGCCAGCAATTGAGAAGCTGAGGCAGGAGGATCACCTCAAGTTCAAGGCTAGCCTGGTCTATACAGCAAGACTCTATCTCAGGAAAACAATAGCAATAGCAATAGCAGTAGCAGTAGCAGCAGCAGCAGCAGCAACAGCTACAAAAACATAATGTTGATATATGACCTACTTATTTCCTATGCTTTCACTAGAAACCAAGGTTACTACACACTAAAACCTCTACTTACAGGACTTGAAATAATGAAGGAAACAATACCTTATAAGGAAAGACATGTTTTTGCTAAGTAAAGCTATGAGGTATTTTGGTCCTAACACAGAGTGGTTTGTCCAAAATGAGAGAGAGGAAAAGTACAAGCAAAACCAAATGTAAACTGGGAGTGGTGGCCCACAGTCTGTAATCCCAGCACTTGGGAGGCTGAGGCAGGAGGATCACTGTGAGTTCGAGACCAGCCTGGGCTACAAAGTGAGTTCCAGGTCAGTCTCAACTATGTAGCGAGACCCTGTCTCAAAACAAAACAAAACAAAACAAAACCTGAATGTATAAGAAAGTTATAAAAAGTGTGTGGAAATGTGGAGTTACGGCTACTTGGGATTGCATGGATTTATTAGTTTGTATTAAGATCAGCTTGAGTACTAGTACACTGGAGCAAAAGTCGAATTTGATCTTCTCTGTTAAAATAACAGTCTTAGGACCAGGGATTTGGCTCAGTGGTTCTGCAGCCTGCCTCACAAGCGCAAGGGCCCGAGTTTGATCCCCGGTACCACAAAAACAAAAACATTAAATAAAATAACAGTCTTATAGTATTGATCTGAGAATGTGATACTTTTTCCTTTTAAGTAATTGGCCTAAGAAACAAAAATTTTGTGTTTTCTCAAGTTAATTTCTTGTGTTTCATCTTATGAGTGTTTGAATCATCTTAAACTTTTAAATGAATCAAGTTTTTGCTCACAATTATGTAACTTTGTCTCTGCCTTTAAAACCTCTTATTGTCACCTTGACTAAACTGACAAAATCGTATTTGTCTTAAACCTTTTGATATTTTTTTACAAAATCAAAATCAAATTCTAAAGCAAATCTTTCTGACCCTGAACTATGTGATTTCTCAGTTGGGCCTCAGGAAAACCACAAAGGATGTGTTTCTCTTCTGGCAAAAGAAACTCTACATTATATGGGAAGTACTGTCAAATAATAAGTGCCATTCAATCTTCTTTAAGACACATTTACTAGTGTGGCTTTATTTTGCACTGGGGACTGAACTCAGGACCTTGCACTTGCAAGGCAAGCGGCAGAACCACTGAGCTAAATCCCTGTTATTTATATGAACGTTCCAAACACTGTATGAGATACCTAGAAATCTTTTTTGGGGGGTACTGGAGATTGAACCCAAGACCTTTGCACTGAGTTACATTCCCAACCCTTTTTAATTTTTAATTTTAAAACATTATCTTCTGGGCTGGGGATGTAGCTCAGTAGATCTGGAGCCTGCCTCAAACGCACAAAGATCTGAGTTCGATCCCCAGTGCCCCCCCAAAAAAAACCCCAAACAGTCTCCCTAAATTGCTTAGGCTGAGCTTAACTTGAAAAACTCCTGCCTGAGCTTCCTAGCGTGCTGGGCTAACAGGTATGTACCACCAAGGCTGGATGGTTCCTAAATTTTCTATGAAAGAATCTTCCAATCCAATTTTTTCCCATGAAATCACTAACAGTAAGAACTGCTCTGCTCATGAATCCCTGTAAGCCAAATCTGGGCAACTCAATGTAAATTCAAGGGACAAGTATCATGCTTGATGTAAGTTCACCAAATGATATAACACCATGACGAGAGATGTTCAAACTGTAAACCTGGGCATGGTTGTGCATGACTGTAATCCCAGAATTCAGGAGGCTGAGAGAGGAGGATTTCCACAAATTTGAGGACAGCCTACACTACATAGAAAGTTCAAGGCCAGTCTGAACTGTTACATAGCAAAACCTTATCAAAGGAAGAGGAACAAAGAGAGAAGAAGCAAGCAAGCAAGCAAGGAAACTATAAACCAGGATAAGAATTCAACAATTCACGCTGTGAACAGTTTTTCCCAAGATGTTGGAATGAGACTCTATGTTGTAATGAAATGCTTAACCTCTCTTTAATTCTTCCTTGCTTATACCTACTGCTTTCACTGACAGGATAATGCTGTAATTAGGCCTTCACAATCAGTAATATTGTTGGGTAATATGACAGAATGCTACATCAAACCCAAATCTTTACTAACTTAAGTGATTCTTTAGTCTACCTACTGGGTAACTTCAGCAAGATCCCTAAGGCAATTGTTCAAATTGTACTGGTGGTCTCTTTTATAATTAGACTTGCAGACCCACTTGTTCTCACTCTCTGCTTTAATTTAACCCTCAGTGTTGGGGTACTACATTAAAGAAATACCATCTATATTTGGCCAGGGAGGAATCTGCATAATTGCTAGCACTTTCTTTTGAACATGGAGAAATATATTGGGCATTATAGAGACGTAGTTGCAAATATATATATATGTATATATTGAACAGACTACTTGATTAAAAGACTCCTCATCTGGTTCATTCCACCTTTGATATTATCGTCTATCATAATAGCAGTTTTCCTAGTAGACTGTATTCTCCCAAAAGTCTTAAATGTTTTCAGGTAGTCATCCATCAAACATCAAATATCTGTGTTCAGATGAGATGACAAAAACCCCCCAAAAATGTAATAAGTAAAAATTATAATAATGCATTATAATCTACAAATGGCGTTTTGGTCACACTCATCTAGGTGAGATCCTAACCAAAAGGTGAAACTGTTAAATAAATTTATTGGAGGGTACTACTTTGGACTGAGTTCCTGAAGTAGGTCCCAATTAACCAGACCAAAATGGTGTCTCTCAGGGCAAATGTTACATCATCACATTGAAATTTTAAGGAGGCAAACAGGAAAGTCCAGTCAAAAAGAAATTCCCTCAAGGCAACTTGAGGTAACCTGATGCTAATCAGTTATAGGTAGTTTTTTGTTTTGTTTTGTTTTATTTTGGTCTATTGTTCTGTTTCATTTCCAACTTAAAAACTCACTGTTCTGCTACTGCATGTATCTATACCGTAGAGTGAAGGCTGCACAAATTCGTAAATCGCAAATTAAAAGGCCAACTGGAAGGTGGCGCTGGGGCGGCTGGGAACGCGGCGCGGCGCAGGGTGAGGGCACACGAGGTGGGGCAG